TTAAGAAAGGGAAAATGTTATTATTATCAAAGCATGTTCATTTTTTCTTAATTTTATTGGATTGACAGCAAAGTCCTCATGCATATATGGGTGCCTTAAATTTGAAATGGTTTGGTAGCTTTGACTTCATGCAAGTGATGGGTATAATGATCTATTTGGGGGCTGAGAAAAAGTGAATCCTAATACTTTAGGAGAAAATATGAAATCCCTCCTTGGGGAAGCTCTGTTGAGAGACAGTGGCTGCCAATCCTGGAACAAAGGCCAACTACACATGGGATCGGAGAACTGGCCTCTGGTCTCAGCTCTCTTCCCAAGTCACTGCAAGGCCTCTCAACTCACAAGCCTTTCCTCGGTCTCAGTTTCCCATCTTCTCAGTTTCCTGGTTTTCCACAGACAACACCGCTCCCCAGGAATTCAGAAACACAAGTTTAAACCCCCTGAAACCTGGGTGTGAGTCTCAGCTCTCCCCCTGTCTAGCTGTGTGATCTTGGGCAAGTCACTCTACATCTCTGAGCTCCATTTCTAGGCAGCCTTAGGGTGGATGTGAGGATTTGCCAGCCTGGATGGGGCTTCTTCAGAGGATGTCTGCAGCAAACGCCTTAAAAGTGGAGGGGTCACCGAAGCAGGAGATACATACTTGGAGTTGTCTTATAAAAGGAATAATAACACGAATCTAGAAATTCTCCCACGACACACCCAACTACAGCTCTTTTTCCGGCATGACTCAGTTTCCAAGCCTCCATTATAGAGTGGAGCCTCCCTAGACTGAGCAATGTGAGAGAGACAAAACAGTTGAGAAGCAGAAGATGAAAGGTGTCCAGAAGCAGGAATGAAAACAATAATTGGGAAATCCGAGGAGGATTTAAAAGGGACTCAGTGAAGAGATTTCAGAATCTCAGATTTCCTCCAATTGCGAGTAGAGAATTACTACCGTGAGATTTTAAAAGCTTTTCTAACTTTCCCAAGTTTGTAATTTTGTCACTCATTGGCTGTTTCCCTGGTATGGTTAGCAGTTAAAAAAAAATCCTTAAACCAGAAAGTGTCTGTACTTCTAAGGAATAACTACGCGGCTGGAAGCTGGTGGCAGTGGCCTCTTGTCATCCTGCCGGAGTGGCCTGCAGATGAAGGTGTGTGAGTAGGAAAAGCAGCAGATGTGGAAAGAAGAGAGGAAATAGGAATCCGGCAAGATGACTATCATTTACTAGCCACTAATTAGGTCCTAGGCATCTGTCTCACGCATTTCCTCACTGAACAGTCCTATGAACTAAGTACTCCTATTATCGTCACTGTACATTTGAGGAAACAGAGATTTAGAAAAGGATAAAACAAGTAACTCACCTGAGGTTCTGGAAAAAACAAAAAACAAAAACCAAACAACCCCCCCCCCCAAAAAAAAAACACCCTGCACACACACACACAAAATGTCAGAGCTCGGATATAAGCCTGAGACTTCAGACCCCATGGTGAGTCCTCAAGCCCATTCAATGCTTCCCGGGAGACAGTGAGGAGAAAAGACTAGGAAGAAAGGATCGGAGATGTTACTGAGGCAGTAGAAGGACCAGAGGATAATGAATGGAAGACTTAATCCCAGGCCTCGTGATAACAGCTTCAGGGTCCCTCCCCAGTTAGAGACTAGGTCCTAAGGGAACAATCTGGGACCATTTCACACATTCCTCCCACCAAGCAAGAAATGAAATTAACCCTCAGGCTGGACAGAATGATTTGAGCTCCTAAGCACCTAGAGGGGTCAGAGTTTGTATTCCTTGAACAGACTCTCTTCAGTTAAGGGGAGAAACCTATGAGAGTTTTTATTGTTGTTTGTTTGTGTTTGAATTGTGGTTCCAAACCATCTGGAGCTTTGCAGCTTTCCTGGAGAACCTCAAGAAATGTCCTAGACTATTCCCTCCAAAAAATGTGTGTGCACATATACACACAGAATTATGTATGTAATTTCAGGGGGTTCATACCGCACTCCAGCCAATCCACAGACAACCCAGGAGCCCATGGCCACAGTTTAAAATCTTTGAGGTCTAGGTGTGAGTCCTAACTCTCCCTCCGCCCAACTGTGTAATCATGGGCAAGTCACTGCACGTCTCTGAACTCCATTCTAGGGAGCCAGGGAGTGAGGATGAAGAATTGCCACTCTGGGTGATGCTAATTTTAGGCAATAATAATTCTGACCAGATCTTCTTTGGATTTAAACCAGCCCTCATCCATGGAAGGCTTGCCATCCAAAATTACATGAAGAAATGAAGAGGGAATCAGGGGTATTTCGCCACAGAAGCATGTGGGCTCCAAAATGGACTGAAACCGTTGTCATGGGAATGAAGAAGTAGGATTCATTCTGAATTATTCTGTAAGTGGCCCCAGAGGGGGGTACTGGTTGGGGTGTGGTGGGGAGGGAAGCAGCTCAGCCTGGTGTCAGAGTGGCATCACAGTTGAGCGGACACGGTTAAAGCCAGGCCGCCATTTACCAGGTAAGTTAGATAACGGTCATGGACGCTGAAACGGAAGTGACAACGGTATCTATCTCCTAGGATCTTGTTAAAAGTCAAATGAAGTAATGCACTTAACAAAGAGACACTTCAGTGGGTGTCAGCTTCTCTAATAGTCTCTGACCCTCGGTTTCTTTGTCTGTAAAATGGGGACATTATCTGTACCCGATCAGAAGGTCACTGTGAGATTTAAATCAGAAAATGCACATTAAACACCCTTAATACAGCACCTGACACATAATTAACTCCTCAGCAGGTGGGAAGTGCAATTAGGATTACAAAGTTTTCGTGACAAAAACCAATGGGAAGAGAGGACAGTAAAGGAAATGAACTTAACCTTTTATTTCAAAATGGAAGGCAAGGCCTTAAATGAAGGGGGGGAATCGGAGGGGGAGACGAACCACGAGAGACTATGGACTCTGAGAAACAAACTGAGGGCTCTAGAGGGGAGGGTGTGGGGGGATGGGTTAGCCTGGTGACGGGTATTAAAGAGGGCACGTATTGAATGGAGCACTGGGTGTTATACGCAAACAATGAATCATGGAACACTACATCAAAAACTAATGATGTAATGTATGGTGATTAATATAACATAATAAAATTAAATTTAAAAATAAAATAAAAATTTAAAAAATTTAAAAAAATGAAGGCAAGGCAAAAAAATATATATCTAAGAGCAGGGACTCAGAGCTAGACTTCCTGCATCTGGCACCTGAGAGCTGTGTGGCCTTGGGAAAGTTGCACAAAATAGGGATACGAGCATCTGCTAAGGAAAAATTGAATGAAGTGACCCATGAGAAGAGCTTGGCTCTGCACCAGCACATAATACGTGTTCAATAAATCCTGGTTTCTTCCATAATAAGTAAAGGTAACACAGAGATAGACCTTCTTATAACAAGTTCCTCTCCAGCAGTGCAGCCTTTAGTGGCTGCGAGTATTCTCTCTCCCCTGGAATTTATCAAGGACGAGAGAAATGAAATTACCAGGGATATTACAAAAGAGGGTAAAACATCAAGATGACCCCTTGTTCCCTTGCAATTCAATGTAAGATAGTTTGAGATTTAAATGGACTGAATGATAGATAACATTTTGAAAACTCCTTGCCCACCCTCCATCATTTTTCTAGTTGCTACCTTCTCTTCTGCCAGAAAATAGCCCTTCACCCTCACCCCATGCCATCGACAAAGAAAGTTTAGACCTTGGGTATCTAGCTTCCCTTCAGGTCACAACAACTAGTCCAGATTTTCTGTCTTCCTGCTGGATGAGGGGGTGCGTGCCAAAGCTTTTCAACATTAGATCACCCTTGCATTTCATCTTGATTTATAGTCTTCCTTCAAAACGTATCCCCCTTTCACTCACTCTTGTCTCTCCCCTCCGATTGTTGTCTTCTGAGCTTTCGTGAGTAATGTCTCATTGCCTCCTTCACAGAGTTAAAGAACTACCATTTTCTGGCTAATAAACATATAGAAAGACACTTAAACTCTTTGTTAATCAGAACAACAAAAGCATAAGATGACATTTTTTTTCCTGGGGAGATCGAAAAAGATGAAACAAATGGTCATCTCAAGTGCAGGGAGGATGTAGGAAAGCCGACGCCCCATGGATGGGAAAATAAATTGGCAAACCCTTTCCGGAAGACAATTTTGTGATGACTATTAAATTTAAAGGTGCACGTTTTCTTTCGGCCGAGCGCTTCTCCTTCTTGGTCACCCCCCTAGTGAGAGAAACACTGGCACAGACACTTAAGGAGACACTCACAACAAGGATGTCCCCTGCAAAGTACTTATGGTAATGAGATATTAGAACAACCTCAGTGTCCCTTAGTGGGCGATGGATACCATAAGTATCCATAGTATAAAATACTATACAGCAATTTAACATAATGATGCAGATCTACATGGACTGGAGAAGAAAGTGGTTCAATAGGTAACGTTAGGTGCATAAAACAAAATGCAGAAGGCTGCGTACACTAGGACAGAATTTTTTTAAAAATCCACACACAAAACAAAACTGCATTTTTCTGTATCTATACACACACATAACCAATAGAAAAAAGATGTGAAGAATGTTCATCTTCAACTAATAACAGTGATTATCTCAGAGGAAGGGCTGGGATTCAAGACAGGGAGTCAAAGAGCACATTTTCCTACTCATTTTATGTATCCCTAACAAAAATACATTAGTGCAGTATTTGTGCATTCTACCATAAATTACTAATATATTTTTAAGATGAATGAGTGATTTTCTGGCATTTCTAACTTCAAGACAGAAGCAGCTAAGGAAGAAGGGGAATCCCAACAGAGGGGTTTCAGAAACGAGGCAGAGGAGGGAAGAAGTCAGCTCGGATGCTGTTTGCAGGTTTCACTTTCATCCTAGCTTGTGGGTAGATGGAGGATGTGACCACAACGGAACCAAAATAGCTGAATTCCAAGATAAGCAGGCAGATGACAGATCAGATCGTTCCCACAGTCAGACAAAACCATGCTCGGGAGCATAGCCCTTTACCTCTTATCTGAGGAAACGTCACTGAGTCACTCATTTCCCACGTTGACTCCTGGAATGTTGACTGGAGGAACCAACCTTTGGACTCTTGGGGGGGGGGGGGAAGGGAAAGAGAAAACAAACTTCAGTAAACACCTGTCATTTTATTTTTGGTGCTTCACTGTCCCCTAAACTAACTTCTGTCATAAAAAAGAAAAGAAGAGCTAATTAAATTTTACTGAGCATTTAGTACATGCTGGACAGTGTTCCAAGTGATATACACGCATCCTCTCATTTAATCCTCAGAAAGAGACACAGGAGGTGTTATTATTAGTCCCATTTTACCAATGTGGAAGCCAAGGCCCAAGAGAGAAAATAACTTTCCCAGAGTCACACAACAGATAAGAAGCAGGACTTACACCCAGGCAGTCTGACACCAGAGCACACACATGACCCCCCCACCCATACTAGTCCCCTATGTTGTACTAACACAAGAACTGATTGATTTTTTTTTTACTCCACAGATGTCTGCTTTCTTCTACTTGATTATAAGCCCCATTAAGTAATATCTACCACTTGAGCACTTACTAACATGCCAGGCACTCACCTTCAGCCATCAGTTATACAACACTCCAACTCACCTGGGAATAAACCAAGGCCAGAGACCCCTGGCAAAAAGGAGTAGAACAGGGAACCAAGGCTGGGCAGTTCTCTCTAGCACCCCCATGGATGAGAATCATGCCTTATTTTTAGGGTATTCTCTGCCCTTGGGCCCTAGTAAATACGTAAAGAAGGCTTGAGGGATAGATGAAAGGTCACATGAATGAAAGAATTCTCCCTCTACTACAGAAAGCTAGAGTCAAGTGAGAACATCCCTCAAGGGGATCTACAAAGATTATTGTGCTTGGAATTAGGCCGAGACACCTAAGCACTAGCTCGCCTAGAATAGAAAGGCAAATATTCCAGAGATGTGCTACCAGGAAGAATTGCTCAAACAAATCAAGGTCAGTCCCAATCTCTCTCTCCCTACCTCCCTTTCTCTCTCAAAGCCACAAGAATGAATGAGCCACAAATGCTGTCCAATTTGTCCTAGGTGGGGCTCATGGCACACAGGAACCAAAAGTTATCTCTAATCATCTAATTCAACAACACTTTACTGTCCTCAATGTAGGAAATGAGGAAAAGAAAAAGAAAGCCAAGTGTCCACATACCTTTGGATGTAAGTAAGGCAGTGTTTCCAGAAGTCACCTCAGTGCTTCTCTCAGGGCCAATGGAGAGAAAGAAAGTTTCTGACTCTGGAAGAGAAAAAAAGTTCAATAATAGGGAGCAAAAAATAAGTGTTTGTGCTGAGTGGTGGGATTCAGGGCTATTTTTATAGTTGTCTTTGTGCTTTTTTATATATTTCAGGTTTTCTTCAAGGATTGCATGTAATTTTTAGGATCAAGGGGAGTAAACTACAAATGTTATATTTTAGGATGATTATTTTAAAGGCCAAAAGAATAAAAAATACATACAAAAATTGACTGGTTTATGGTTCATGGACTTTAGGTGACTACTCAGAATATAAAAGAATTAGCCAATTCAATATTGTCAGGCTATTTAAACTATCAAGGCCTTACTGAGGCAGCTGAGACACCTAAGAAAGCCTTCACACTATCTCTTAATGGTTTTCCAATATTCTTACATCAGAATCAGAGGTTGAAACATGGTGGGAGCTTTGGTAAGCCCCGTAAGTAATGGAGCTAGTAACTCAGTGAGGTTCCAAGATGCAGGATCAAAAAGGATTGGGGGGAGGGAAAGGGGAGAAAAAAAGGAACACAATGGAAGGGAGGGAGGGAGGGAGGGAAAAAAAAAAAGGAAGGAAGAAATAAGGGTAGAACTAGTTCATCATCAAGGAATATTTTAAGACATCTAGAGGCCTTTCCTCAATGCCCAGGCAGAGACCCCTGGCAGACTGAAACTGGATTCTGACCCCGGGTGACATTTCCTGGTTCTTCAATAAATATCTCTAAGATTCCTGGAAGGTCGGGGCGCCTGGGTGGCTCAGTTGGTTAAGCGACTGCCTTCGGCTCAGGTCATGATCCTGGAGTCCCGGGATCGAGTCCCGCATCGGGCTCCCTGCTCAGCGGGGAGTCTGCTTCTCACTCTGACCCTCCCCCTCTCAAGCTCTCTCTCTCTCTCATTCTCTCAAATAAATAAATAAAATCTTAAAAAAAAAAAAAAAAAGATTCCTGGAAAGTCAACTGGAGAACCAAAAAAAAAAAAAAAAAAAAGGAAAAAATAGGGGAAAAAAGAAATGATAAAACAAAGGAACAGGTTTGTGAAACCACATCCTCACTGACACCCCCACACACAAACACATGTTATAAGCTGAATTATATTCCCCAAAATTCATATGTTGAAATCCTAACCCCCAATACCTGAGAATGTGGCCATATTTGGAGAAAGAGGTAATTAAGATAAAATGAGGTTATATGGATGGGCCCTAATTCGTTATGAGTGGTGTCCTTATAAGAAGATAAGTTTAGGTCACACCCATTCACAGAGGGAAAACCTCTGTGAAAACACAGGGAGAAGGTGACCATCTTAAGCCAAGGAAACAGTCCCCAGAAGAAATCAACCCTACTGACACTTTTATCTCAGACTTCTCGTGTCCAGAACTGTGAGAAAATAGATTTCTGTTGTTTAAGTCCCCCAGTCTGTGGCATTTGTTATGACAGTGTTAGCAAATCAGTATACACACACACACACACACACACACACACACACACACACTGAGACCCAAGAGCAAGTCTCTGGACTGCCCCACTCAGTAAAAAGAACCCTGTTTCAAGGGACCCAAGATACATCTGACCGGCAGAAGGGAAAGAATGGCCAAATGTACCAGGTACCTGCAGTGAGGATGGGCCCTTCCATGGAAAGCTCAGTGGTTGGAAGCACTGTGGTGACTTCAAAAAGAAAGGTTGATGTTGCTGGAGGGTATGTCACTGCCACTGTTGTGAGGGCAGTGGTGGTTCTTGTCTGAAGTCGTGTTCTGGTTGTGAGCTCAGGTGTTGTCATCAGAGCAGTGGTGGTAGTTGGGAGACGCGTTGTTGAGTGCCTGGTTGCTGGGGCTGTAACCAATGGAAGATACGTCTGGTACCAAGCAGAGACGGAGGAAAAGGGAAAGCATACAAATATATGTGGGATCTGTCCATTTCTCTCCATTTCTGCTGCCCTCACCTGGTCCACTGACCTGGACCACTGTAATGCCCATGGAAGTTGGGTTTCTTACCTCTACTCTTGGCCTTTCTGATCTGTTCTTCACACATTGGTTACAATAATCTTTTTAAATGACAAATAATTATGTCAGTACCCTGCTTAAAACTTTTTACTGGTCCTCCATGCCCTTGAGATAAAGGACCCAATCCCCAACCTTGGCCCACAAAACTCTATCTGATCTGGCTCTTTCTTTACAATCTCATTTCTCCACTCCACTCTTCTTGCTTTTCCCCAGCCCTCTGACCTTTCTTCATCTCTCTGAACAGTGACCTTACACTGGAGGGACTTCATACCTGTTGCTTCCTAGCCTCTCCCTTCATTAGGCTGACTCCTACTGAGCCCTCTTGTTGCAGCTAAAAGGACACTGCTGCAAGGAGGTCACCCATATTCGGCAATCGCAATTAGGTTTCTTGGTTTTGCACTTTACCTTGGTTTTCATACTTTACCTTCACAGCATTTATTGCATTTCATAACTGCACATTTTATCTGATGATTATGGTTTAACACCTGTTTCTCCCATGAAACTGTAAGCTCCATGAGGGGAAATCTGGTATTTACTTTGTTCTCTGCTACAGATCTAATACCTACCCTAGTGTCGGGCACATAATAGGTTTCCAAAAACATTGCATCAATGAGCAAATGAACAATTGCATCAAAAGTGAGCCCAAACATAAAATTTCAGTCAAGCAAGATGAAGAAGCTCTAGAGCTCTGCTGTACAACATCGTACCTGTAGTTAACAATAATATATTATACACTTGAAAATTTGCTGACTTAGAACTCATCTTAGACGTTTTTTCCACAATAAAATAAAATTAAAATCTAAAAAAAGTGTGCCCAAAGTATGCAACATGGGGTGAGAATATAGTCTCTTTCAGATATTAAAGATAAGTTTATGCCAACACCACTCACCCCTAACATTTGAATTTGGGTTCATCAGCCACTGTTATTCTATATGTGCTACCCTCTCTTAAATATGACAAATTTCAATTAACTCTAACAGATTCCAGTGAGCTTAGAAATGACCCATAGATATTGATTTCAACAAGTATTTTATAAAATAATAGCTGGTTATACAGGCTTGAAAAGAGAAAGCTTGGATTAGCATCATTTAACTTCAATAAAACTTCAATAAATCAGAAAAATACCTCTTTATCACCAAGCCCCTTTTTGAGAAAAATACACTAATGTGTATGAAAGTTCTCTAATGAGAAGCATCCATATAAATTATTCTCAAAGTTTATAGGGTGCCTGGGTGGCTCAGTTGGTTAAGTGACTGCCTTCAGCTCAGATCATGATCCCGGGGTCCTGGGATCAAGCCCCGCATCGGGCTCCCTGCTTGGCGGGAAGCCTGCTTCTCCCTCTCCCACTTGTGTTCCCTCTCTCGCTGTCTCTCTCTCTCTGTCAATTAAATAAATAAATAAATATAAATAAATAAATAATTAATTAATTAATTAATTCTCAAAGTTTAGAGTGCATTGGAGTCACCTGAGAATCTTGTTAAGTATGTGGCTATAAGCATATGACCTTGCCTCCCAAGATGCCTACCCAGTGAGGAACAAAGCACAAGAATCTTCCATCTTTGATGCAGGTTGAACACAGAGCTTACTCTGAGAGGCTCCATTCCAAACAAGCAGGAAAGCTGATTACTGTTAGCATAATTCAACCATAGGCTGCCTTCGATGCAGCTCAAATCTTTAAGAGTTGCACCCTATTCCAATTTCATCAAAAGCAACTAATAGTAACAGAAGGAAAGGCCACCTAAAAACTGTTATGACTGTCTCCAAATCTCACGCCCTTTCCCCTCTGCTGGAAGTCACAAACTATTGGCTGATGGACTGAAGCTGACCCATGGACACATTTTATTTCGTTTACATGGTAGTTCTTTTTTTAATCTTTGCCAACATGCAAAAATCAATGTCATGCCCATAAAAATTGGGAGATCCGAAAGCACTGCACATAAATTTCTGCAAAGTGGCAATCTCCTAGATAAGAATCAGATGCCCTCTGCACATTGACCCTGCAATTCCCTGCTTGTTTTCTCCATGTACCCTCCACTCATTCATTTCTAAGGTCTTCTTGGCCCCCATGGGCATTTGCTCCATCCTGTGGCTCCTCTAGCCATAGAGACACAGCTTAGATTTAATCTGCCCACTCATGCTTAAGCACCTACAGCCTCCCCAACACCACCCACTGAATCCATTCCCCATTAACTGTTGGATCCCTCCTTCCACAGACACAAGCCCCTTCGTGCACGCACCTCTCCTCAATTGCAGGCGAATGTTCTTCTTCACATCATTGAACCAGCCAGGGACCTCTACACGGCAGCAGTACATACTGCTGTCATCTTCACTGGTGTTGAAGATGGTCAAGGAGACATTGCCTCTCCAGATACTGCCCTGAAGATCATATTTTGGTGACTTCCTGGACAGTACCCTCATCCCATCGGTGTGGAGAAGCTCCTGGCTGCATTTGGATTTGGGACACTCACCCTTGCCCCAGCACATGCTGTTCCTGCTGTGAGCCCAGGATGAGTACTTACAGGGCAAAGTCACCGTCTGACCCAAATACGCTCTCACGGTCTCTGGTACAGGTGAAGCTGTGAGGAAAGATGAGAAAAATAGACTGTGTGGTTCTAAAATCTCTCAAATATGCTACACAGTGTTTGTGTAGAACGATGCTTCCAGGATGATGAAAAGAGTTATAGTGTATATCTTTTTAGCCTAATTCTGATGTGCCCTTAGCTGCTGCTGAGTCCCTAACTCCACACCCTTTTGTCCCCTAACTGGAGACAGTTGACCCACATGAGTGTCTGAACTCGTCTCCACAACAAGACGTTTTGGTTGATTTAAAAACTCTGATCTTGGGGCACCTGGGTGGCTCAGTCAGTTAAGCATCTGCCTTCGGTCAGGTCATGATCCCAGCCCACATCAGGCTCTCTGCTCAGCAGGGAGCCTGCTTCTCCCTCTCCCCTCTGCCCCTCCTCCCTGCTTGTGCTCTCTCTCTCTATCAAATAAATAAATAAAATCTTTTTAAAAAATAAAATAAAAATACCATTCAATAAACAAAAACATTGATCTTGAGTACCATTCAATAAACAAAAAAATTCTCCAATGAAAAGGCCAACTCTTTAATCCAATTCCACTAACTAATATGAGCAGATCCAAAACCAGCACCCTACCCACTGTATCTCAATAAGCAGTGAGCATGTACTACAGACCCAAATGCCTCAAATGGGACTCCCTCCACCCTCCAACCCAGAGAATGCTATGGCAGTAACATAGGCTTTTGAACTACATTCTATTTTCCTTCTCTTCTTTCAGTACTGGATACAGAAATTAGTTGCTCTGGACCATTTATTCATTGTTAGAGAATATGAAGTTAGGTGAAGTATGAAAACATTTTTAGTGTTAGAACTGGAAGGGACCACAGGAATTAGATAGAATGGCAGCTGTGACATACAGAAATGCTGGAAGTTTAGTCTTACCAAATTAGCTGTGTGAGATGGGAGGTATCACTATTTCTAAAATGAAGTAGTCATCTTTGCCAGCTTTGGCTGCTCATCAGAATGACCTGGGAGCTTGTTAAAAATGGAAATCTTATTGTCCAACCCTGAACCAGAATCTCTGAGGCCAAGACCCATGGAAGAAATATGCATAACCAAATTCTCCAAGTCATTCTGATGTCGTTTGCTACTCACAGTGTTTGAGGACCACTAGACAAGCTCTTCTAAGATAACTTCCATCTCTGAGAATCTGTGAAACATTTTCACTGCTGCAAATATCAAGCCCACTGGTTTAACAGAGTATCAGCAATTGTTTTAATTCCCCACCCCCAAAAAATGCTATTGAAGACAGGCTGAAGCTCCAGATCATCAGGACTCCATCCTGCTCCCACTGGGGTACATAGATCCTGCTTATTGTTTTCTCCAATGTAACTTCCTGTGAGACTCTCCATTCACTAATTTTGTGGACCCATTTGGCTCAGTTGTATAAGACATGGCCAGCAGTACCAGGTTCCTCTCTGACTCAGGTGTCAGGAATGTCCACATACCCTCTCTAGAAGAAGGTGAGCACAAACCCTAAGAGTCACCAAATTCAGACCAGCCTGGAGCCTTCCCTGAAATCACAGTTACTTCATTTTGTCGTAGTAGAAATGTTTCAATGATCGTAAATGCTCTGGAAGTCTCTTTTGCCCACCATGAAACAAGGAAAAATAAATAAGAAATTCATTGTCATCACCTTCACCTATATTAGCAACACAGAACATATGCTCCTAAAACTAGTAACTCCTACAATATGAGCTTGTCCTATATTTGGAAAATTAATAACAAATATGTGTAGGAACTATTTCTGCTGGAAATTGGACAGTTTATTTTTCCAGTATCATAGTATAGAAGGAGGCATCCTACTACTCAGGAGGAAAAGACCACATAGGGGCACCCGGGTGGCTCAGTCGTTAAGCGTCTGCCTTGGCTCAGATTATAATCCCAGGGTCCTGGGATCAAGCCCCTCATCGGGCTCCCTAATGGGCGGGAAGCCTACTTCTCCCACTCACACTCCCCCCGCTTGTGTTCCCTTTCTCGCTGTGTTTCTGTCAAATAAATAAATAAAATCTTTAAAAAAAAAAGACCAGATAGAAAAATTGACAGCAGACAAGACAGGCATAGATGAGGAAATGTGAGCAGCCGATAAATTTCACCTGGAAGACAGGCAAAATTTTAGAATGCCAGTGATATTAAGGTTGGCCAGACAGGGACTTAGGAAATGGCATAGACTACTGGAGTATACTGGAATAAAATAGGAGGTTAATTGGTAGAGCCACACTGTGGGACAATCTGGCAGTTTCCATTAATACTGAACATGCGTGTATCCTAGCTAAGTCTTAGCAATTTCGTGTTTTGTTATGCACCCTAGAAAAACACACTTGCAAAGGAAACCTATTTGTAAATGTTTGCTGCAGCTTTCATGTATATGTGAATGAAATGAACAATGTGTGCATGGGGAATGGCAAAACTATGGCACACGCATTCCAAGGAATCATGAATGAATCATTCATTCCCTGTAACCATTCCAAGGTTAGTAAAAGTAGAGCGATCTATATCAGTTGACATGAAAACTCCAAGCCTTATTAATGTATGAAAAGGGCAAATTCATAACAATACATAAACATAAAAGCATCTGTTAACATAAATAAAACAGTTTGCTTTTTTCTTTTTTTTTTTTTTTTTTTGTGGGCACAAACGAATGAAGGTAAATGCATAGAAAAGTGTCTGGTGGGATATACACCTAACTCATTGTACCAGTCACTTCCATGATCAGAGAAAAGGAACCGGGGCTGGAAGTAGTAGTCAAAGGGATTTTAGCTTTATAACGGCTATTATTTTTTCACCAAGAGTGTTTCTGTATCACTGATCTAATTAAAAATTAATATTAAAAAAAGGAAGCAGGCAATTTGGTGCAGCAGAAAAACACTCATTAGGCTTATGTTGTAAACCTCATTCTGCCAGTTACTGCTTTTGTGTTCTTGGAGGAAAGCCACAATAATCCTGCCCTCATTATCATCAAAAGACAAAGGGGATATATAATACTTGCTTCAGAAATAGTTCTGAGGTTCACATGAAATGAAGTATCAAATACCACATGAAATTAATGAAGTACTGGTACAAGAAACCAAGCATTTCAGAATTGAGAAATAGAATGAGAAGCTGTTCCTTACTGTTATAAAAATATCATGGAGTACAGGAATCATTGGCATCAAGTCAATTCCCCTCTTTGGAAATTACCCAGGATGGTAGGTGCAACGAAGGTTCTGGTGCCCGCTGGTTTCCTTCTCCAGTTAGTGACCTCAAGAAAGGTCCTTTACCAACTTGGGTTTCAGTTTCACCATTTACAGAATAAAGGGTTTCATTCCACATCTTTTTTTTTTTTTTTAAGATTTTATTTATTATTTATTTGAAAGAGAGAGAGAGCACGCACACAAGCAGGGGGAGGAGGGGCAGAGGGAGAGGGACAAGTAGGCTCCCCCGACACAGGGCTAGATCCCATGACCCTGGGCTGAAGGCAGTTGCTTAACCAACTGAGCCACCCAGGCGCCCCTTATTCCACATCTTTTAAGAGCATCTCCAGCCGTGATTGATCCTTGGTAATTCTGAGCAGTAGCTCTCTTCTAAATTGGTCATTTTAGAAAAGGCACAAATGAACAGCACCAACAGACCATTCTCCAGGTGCAGCTTCCTTCAAGTAGGATTAGAGAAGGCCACACAATCAGTGTCCAGCCAGTAGCAGGGAATGTGGACCTAGACTCCAGCAACCTTCAGCATAATAAAACCTCCACACCTCAAAGTACTCAGGACAAGATAAGGACCAGTGAAGACACAGATAAAGAAAGTAACAGGGACACCTTCATTCTGTGAACTCCTACAGAGTCTGGGAAGAAAGGCAATTAAATGATCACTTACTACAGGGAGATAAGTTCTCTGATAAATGACTCCATAGGAGATAGGAACTCAGAGCAGAAACACCTAAACCACTCCAAAGGCTCTGGGTGCTCAGGAAAAGCCTCACTTGGGTGGAGACCTGAGAATGCATATAGTTTCAGAGTAAAGAAAGGCAGAAAAAAATCAGCATGATAAAGTTTTGAAGGGTAAAGAGAACACATTTGTTTTCCTTGGAATGTGGGTGTTTTCTCACGCAGCATATTGGAAAGATCATGTGCAAATAACTATGAACTTTTAAAAGTGCTAAGGACATTAGATACTATCTAGTTCTAGAATCATGGATTGTTCAAACTGGTCTTACCAAATCCCTCATTTCATACATAGAAGAGCCAGAGCAATTTCAACAGGTTCCTAATGTTAATGGTTAGTGACCGAGACACAACTGCAGCTCAGTGTAGAGCATTTTGCCCTATGCTGCCAGGATGCAGAAGTCTAAGCTGGCCCAAATTGAGTGTGTACATCTGCATCGTCCAAAACCTGGAAACAATGCGCAGAAAAGAAACCTCACCTTGAAGCCTCATCCCCAGCAAAATAAAACAAACAAAAAGCAAACTATAACTCCTGAAAATCAAGAGGAAAAATAAGAATTATAATAAAAGCACTTGTAGAACAAATTCCCCAGGCTCCGACTATGCTAATAACACCTGCAGATGAAACTTCTTTTCCCCATTTCATCTGACCCCTTATTTTGTGTTTCTTCTTAAATGGTCATTTCTGATATGAACACAAATTATCCCACCCTAAAACTCCAAAACCAGTCACAGGATAAAATAACAAGGAAGGGGAGAGACCCTACAAAGGAGGAAGCCTGGAAGGAAGGAGGAATGAAGCAGGCTTCTGCTCTACTGAGGCCCGATCAGCCATGGGAATCCATCACAGGATGCCAAGCTATCCAGGGACTCCTGCATGGAAGGATTCAGAACACTTACTCAGAGAAAGCCGCCCAAGCTCAATCAGCAGCCAGAGAATAAGAGGCCCTTTGGACATTTTGATGGTTGGCAGGCCCCAGGAGTCTGTCTGTCTGTCCAAAGCCCATTTCTTATACTCCAGTGAATGCTGACAGGGCAGGACCATTTAGTTTCATTTCTCTTTCTGCCTCATAATCTTCCCTTTCCCCCTCCTGAATGGTCTCCCTCAATCTGGGATGTATGATAAAATGTGCTGAGCACTTTTCTCCTGGCCACTAGCCTATGTACAAATATGTGCATGGATAGTGCAGTTGCATCTGTATTCCTTTGTCCATGCATATCAAGGGATTTCCTACTTGTGTGTTAGCATCCATGCATGTGCTTGTGTGTATGTGCATGTGGGAGCTGTGCTCGAGCTACAGTCCTCCTGGCTACTGTGCAGCTCAGAATAAAATGCAATGAACTCTCCTCACTGGCAGCTGTTTACACATAGAATCCTCATAGGGGCCAAAGGAAAGTTAGCCTAGAATTTGCCTCTGCTCCATTTATCTGATTCACCTGGTTCTCCATCACTCAGATCTTTGGTTGCTTTACCCCATGGAAAAAGAAAAGCAGGACTGCAATCAACCATCACATAAGCCAAAATCACCATTAGAGTTTACTAGACAAGGAAAGAAGAATTCAATAGAAGAAGCATACTGTGGCCATTACAGGATGGGCTCAGGTATTAAAGAAACCCAAGTTCAGGACCCAATTCTACCACTTTTTAAGTGAAGCCACTTGATAGAGAAGAGCATAAAAGATAATTCATGAACCAGATTACAAGGCTTGACTCTGTAGATACAATGATCTATCCAAGACCACAGAACCAGTTAGGGAAGGAACCAAATCAACCAGATGTGTTTTCTAAAATAGACTTAGGGGCACCTGGATGATTCAGTCGGTTAGGCAACCAACTCTTGCTCTCAGTTCAGGTCTTGATCTCAGGGTTATGAGTTCAAGCCCCATTCTGGGCTCCATACTGGGCCTGGAGCCTACTTAGAAATTAATTAATTAATTAATTAGACTTAGATCATCATCACTGGTTATTGAATCCTTAGTTATATACCAGGCGCTCTGCTACATGATAAAGATATATTATTTAATTCTCACAACCATAAGAAATAGATAATATTTTTTCCCATTTAACACATGAGGAGACTGAGGCTTAAGGGAGCTACATAAATGACACTGACAGCTAAGAAGGTGTGAAAACAGGACTCAAGCCCAAGTCTCCCTGATCCCAAAGTCCATGCCCCTAATCACTACACCCTCCTTTGACCTGTGATCCTTAGGGTAATACAGACATGAGACCACCCATACCAGTGGCTGGCCAGATCCCACCCAGCCCAGAGAATGAATTTAAGGATTCACAAATGCTCTAGATTTTTAAAAAATCCTCATTTGATTGTAACCCACTAAATGAGCCTCAGACATTCAACATTGCTCATGGTAAAAGTATTGGTGAAAATACAAATATCGGATAAGACTCTGGACTCAGAGAAGCCAGAAAAACAAGGGGAAGGGATGAAAATAGAGGGACTCGGAGAAAACCTTCCCATTGAATACACATTGAATTGTGGAATCCTCTTCCTAGGGAACTGGGGGGTTTAATCTCTGGATAAACTGAATGGCCCTAATAAAAACTTACAGATATTGATATTTAGGTATCCCCCAACAATATCAACACAATTGTCCTTCAATAAAGTTACCAGTGCATAAGCCTCAATCTTATATGCAGCACTCCTAATTAGTTTTTAGTGTGTCACTTTAAATACAAATAGACAACCAAGGGTCTGAGACATGTGGGGAAAGTTTTCAGTATGAAAAAGATGACAACATCCAAGATGACTTTTTCTACTCACATGTATAGCAAATTGATAGGATGACTAGAAGCCCTAGGAGCTGGACAGGCAACGTTTCTCTCCACATGGCCTTTCCTCAAGGCATCTTGGGCTTCCTTACAGTACAGCTGTCTCAAAGTAAATGAATTTCTTACATAGTATTTGACTTTCTCAAAAATGAGTGTTCCAACAGGCTCAGGAAGAACCTGCAAAGGTTATGACCTAAACCTACATGTGATTCAGTATCATTTCTACTGCATTCTGTTGGTCAAAAAGTAAGTTATAAGGCCATCCCAGATTCAAGTAGAGGGAACAATACAAGGGTGTGAATATCAGGAAGTTCATTGGAGGTGAAGGGGAAGCATCTTTGCAGACTAGTTACCACAACAAGCAAACCAGGTTGGAGCAGAAGGGCAAAGGGATAAGGTTTGGGGTGGCAGTGGTAAATGTAACTGGTAGATAGTCTCATGCATTTGGGCATTTTGAAAATAGATTCAATAGGTCTTTGACAGAAAATGGTTGAATCATTGGGATGAATTTTGATAAACACTTGGAAAATTAAGAAAAGGAAAATGAGACAATTATTACAATGATGAAAGATAAAATATTATACAAGAAAGAATATGTAATTATAGTACATCTGCTCAATGTGAAAGATAGTTATACAGTCATGATAATGTAAACTCTGGCTACTAGTTTAACAAAAACTGTGATATGAATACATTGGGAAGATGGGCAGAGAGGAAGTGGAGGAGGAGTGCAAGAAAACCAAACCTTACTCACCCTTAGAGGAGGTCAATAGATGGTGATGAGAGTGATCAATCAAACAATACCAGTATAAGCACATTATTTGTAATATGGAAGGAAAAAAAAAAAACAGAAAAAAAAACTCAGAAGAGTTTACATTTTATGGGAAAGAATAGGAAAGGAATTGACTATTTTTTCAGTTATGCCTTTTAGAATAATTTTACTTTTAAAAAATGCACATATTGAGCACTCCTAGCACCCAGATATTAGTTTCTAAATACCACTCTCCAATAGAAGGAACCAGGGCTCTTTGGGGAAATGGCTGATTCTAGGACTAGGGCAACAAATACTTCAAATGAATCTGGAGCATCTTATACTAGAAAGTATGAAAGTGCTGAATAAATAGATTGATGATAGATAATAGATAGATGATAGATGATAGATAGATAGATAGATAGATAGATAGATAGATAGATGATAGATAGATAGATAGATAGATAGATAGATAGATAGATAGATAGATAGAACCCACAATGGTGCAATTGTTAATGGGACACCGGAAACAACTAAAAGAGCTCTCAATGACCAAAGCTGGAACAACCTGAGCAAAAAAACAAACTAGTACTGGATTATAACCCAAAGTATAAAATAGATGTCTATACTGATACAGTGATTGAATCAATAAATAAGTGAGGGAGAGGAGGACTAATCTTCTGTCCAAAAGAATTCCGAATAATTTATGTAGAGACTTACCCTTAAAGGGAAGGTGGAACGTAACTCCCACTCCTTAAGTGTGGGCTGGACACAGTGACTTTCTCCCAAAACATCCAGCAAAGACAGAGAGAACAAAGATTACATTTAGAGTGGAGAGATCTGGCAAACGCTACCTCGAGCACATGATCAAGGTCAGCATCAAGAGAGAAGCCACGATGATGGTTTGCACCCTTGATATGTGGTGTAAATGGCACTTTACCTCTGTGGTAAAGTCTTCCTCCCAAGAAATATAATCCTAGTATAATCATGGGAAAAACATCAAACACAACCAAACTGAGTCACATTCTACAAAATATTTGACAAATACTTCTCAAAACCATCACAATCATATAAAACAAGGAAAGTCTGAAAAAATGTGAACAGCTCAGAGGAACCTAAGGAGATGTGACAACCAAATGTAATGTGGTATCCTAGATAGGCCCCTGGAAGGGAAAAAGGCTAGTAGGTGAAAACAAAGGAAATTTTGGACTTTGGTTAATAATAATGTATTAATATCGGTTTATTAATTATTACAAATACACCATTTCCACAGCGTAAAATGTTAACAATAGGGGAAACTGGGTGTAGGGTGTATGAGAACTCTCTATTCTATCTTCATCATTTTTCTGTAAATCTAAAGCTATTCTAAAACAAAGATTTTCCTAGTGCACATATTCTTTTATTTTAGAAATGCAAATGTTAATTTAGTACCTGGAAAGGGTCACACACTGGAAAGAGAGACTGAGACTAAGCTTGGTTATCTTCTCTTCCTAAGTTAAGGTCCCTGGACAGTCTTTAGGGAATTCACAAACATCCTAATATTGGATGCTCAATTTGTATTACTGTATTAAAGCATATTATTCTTGAGAGAGGGCCATAGCAGTTTTTGGTAATTCATGTCTTTGCCATCTTCCTCTGCATATGGAGGTTTGTGTCTGGAGAGCCAGTCCTCCCTCATTCTCAGTAAGTGCAGTTTAGATGGCATTGATTTCATTCATGGCCATGCTGTTTAGATCAAGGATGAACAGTTGATCCAAATAAAGTCAAGGATACATAATCTTGACACATTTCCTGGAACTTTTGAGAGGTAGGAACACTCCCTATTTTTCACAGATTTTTCAGCTGTGAGGATATGAGCCTGAATCCAAAGATATCCATTATGTCACCAATGGGTGAAGACTGCCTGATGAGAGAACCAATCAGGCAGAAGGTAAGTGGAGAAATAGAGAATCCTAGGTCCTTGACAAAGTTTGAACCCCTGAAACAAGACACATCAATGTGCCGATAAATTTCCTTTTGAGTTTAAACCAATTTGTGTAGGGTCTTCAGTCATTTGGAATCAAAAGACCCCATGTTCTTAAACCTAGAAAGACTTCTATATAGTGGTAATTCAGCTGAATGACTAAAGTTTTTCCAATATATAAGAGTTTACACAATTATCTGGCCCAGGTACCTGCTTCACCCTAACCTTTCAATCATTCAGCAAGTGGCTTGTCAATCTATTATACTTTAGGCATGTGGGAATTCTGCTAGGCTCTGGGGATAAAGACAAATAAGGCATAGATCCTACTCATAAGGACCTGACAGTTTCAAATTTTAAGCAAAAGAGGTATTATTTAAATTACTATTTAAAGATAAGGCTATTGGAGGCCAGAGAAGATAAAAGACTGTTAAGTCATATGAAGGAAATAGAATCCAGGTTTTCTAATAAAAAGTTTTTTATGTTAAACAATATTTCCTTTCTGATAAATGAAGTTAAATGTAATCCCACTCATTCATTTTTATTCATTCATTTCTT